CATGCCGTGCTTCCTGGGCGGGGGTCAGTGGCAAGGCTGTGTCTGGGGAGGGGGAGGCAATTTAGGGGGTGAGCGAGTGACGGTGGCCGGGTGTCCCAGGGGAGAGGGAGGTGGGAAAGCCAGTGAGCAGGGTGGCGAAACAGAGGGATTAGGCGTGTAAAAGGGAGGTTGGAGGTGGACGGAGGGGCGGATTAGCGCTCTGGATGTGAACCAGGAGCAGCTGGGAGTCCCATGCTCGCCAGGATAATGGCACCAGACAGCCCTGGCCCGGGGCCAGCCAGGGCCGGGCCGGCGGGATGCTGTGCTGGAGACCCCCTCCGTGCCAGGGCCAGCCCCATGCCCCCATGCTCCCTCCCCAGACAGGCTCCGCAGGCAGCAGCGGCCTGGGGCAGCCCCCCAGCTCGGCTGCCGTCCCCGGACCCCCTCCCCAGTACGCTGTGTCCCTCCCCATCACCTGCCCTGCACGGTGCCTTCCCCGGGTGGTCGGTACGGTTTTCCCAGCCCTTTTTTCTCCACTGGGCCATGCTCTGTAAGCCAATTCCTCCTCTCGGGTCCGCTCTGCTTTCCCCAGCGAGGATTACAAGCGGCACTTCGCCCCCCGGGACCTGCTGGTGTTTTCAGCTCACCCCCTCCTGGTTTATCCCACCCACTACGCTGGGGACAGCAACTGGCTGAGCGACACCGAGACCTCCACCATCTGGGACGACGATGCCAAGAAGACTGACTGGGCTGGCTCGCAGAAGACCCTGAGGGACTCACGGGGTGGTGCCGGCCACCTCCGCTCCACTGCCCGCGACGAGCTCTGACGGTGAGCAGGGCTGTGGGACCCAGGCGCGTGGTGCCGGGGATGGGGGACAGAGTGGCTGGGAAGCATCTCCTTGCGAGCGCCGTGTTCGGATGTGTCCCGGATGCCTAGTTTCTTTTTGCCATGTGGCAGCAGTTCTCCCCGTCAAGACTCAAAGTGTTGGGAAACAGAGACAAGACCACCTCTTCCAGGCGGGGAAAGGGATGGGGATGCAGATGTCCCATGTGGGGCTGCACTGGGCTGGAGGGGACCAGGGGACGGGGTCCTGCTGCTTCCCGAGTCCGTGCTGCTCCCCAGCCCCTCAAGCGAGGAAGGGACAACGCTCCTCCGCCTCCTGCAAAAGTCACCCTAGTTTGGAGAGAGCTGGGGGCGTCTCGCAGGGGAAAGTTTCACCCTGAGGCTGCTTGCTCCCCCTCAAAAGCAGGTCTCCCTGGGGCTGTGTCTTTGCGGGGTGGCCGTGCAGGCGGGCAGGCAGCTGCACTCGCTCGGCCCCAAGGCAGCACCGCCACGGTTAACGCCGGGTCAGACTTTCCCTGTCTGAGGTTGCTTGTGCTGGCAGCAGAGCCTCCCCGGGAGCAGCCAGACCGGGGGAGCCTGGAAAACAACCCTCCCACCACTTCTACTGCAGGCGTCAACACGTCGGGGCTGCTCCTGCCTTGACCGCTAATGTTTGCGTCCTTGCCTCCTAGGGACGAGGGATTGTGATCCAGCTGGGAGCACCGTGGGCCAGTGGCCTGATCCTGCCTGCTCCTGCTTGAGAGATGCAGCTGCCCTGGACAGATCTCCCCAGGGTCCTTCGAATCTGCACGTGGCGAATCCACCCAAGGCAGGATTTGCCCCAGGGCTCCTGGAGAGCACTTTCACTGCCAGGTGGAGGGACCAGGGGAGCGCTGTGCTCCGTCTCTGCTGAGGACACATCTCCAGGACTGCCCCGAGCGATGCCAACTCCGCCATCTCCCCCCGGCTTGGACTTTGGGGAGCGTTTTTCAGGGTGGGGGCTGGCTCCCATGGTGGCACACGTGGCCTCCTGCCGCCGACCGGGCTTGTCCCTCGCCTGTGCCGTGTCTGGGCTGAAGCGCGGGGAGGATTAAAGCAGACTGTGTTTGAGCTGACGTGCTGGGTGCTGGCTCTGCCGGGTGGCATTGCCCCATGTAACGTCCCCAGGGCATACCCCACCGGGGTCACCTCGGAGCTGTGGTGAGGAGGGTCTGGCAGTTCCCCCGGCTGGGGACTGCTTTGGGAATGAAATCTGTAATGGGGAAAGGGAGGGAGGGAGGAAGGTGGGGTGGGAGACAGAGACCAGAGCTCTCCCCTGGGGTCCAGGGGTGAAAAGGTGGGTGGCATTTCCACAGAGCTCAGCTCTCCCCTGGCAATGCTGATGGAAACGATTTCCCTCATTGGCGCGAGGTTCGGCCTTGGGACTGAAAATCCGACACCAGCTTGAGCACCGAGATGTGCAGCTGAGTCCTGCTGGGCTCCGGCATCTGTCACCTTTGTGGCCAGCTCTGGAGGAGGGTGTTTGCTTTCCAAGAGCCCGGGCTTGTTTGGTGCTAAACCTCAGCTCCTCGGCAGGGCGACGTTCCGTTGAAAACTGAGGATTTTCTGGGGTGGAGGAGCAATTTCCTTAAAAACACTGCAACTAGCCCTAGTCTGGGTGAGCTGGGGAGATGCGAGCTCCCTGCCAGGCCCCTGGAGCTGCCGCCTCTCTCCACCCCTGCCTGGCAGCTGGCTGCCCCTTTTGGCCCTCGAGCAGCTGCTGGGGTTAGCTCTGGGACGCTGCCTTCACCCAGGGTTTGGGGGGCTGCGCCCCTCTTCTCCCCACAGCCTGATGAAGGCGATGGAGCAGTGGGTGGAAGCCTCCGCAGCCGAGACCCACAGCGGGATGTCTGAGCCCACCAAACATGCTCCAGGGGAGCATCATTTGGGACAGGATGCACAGCTACAGCAGGGACCTCCTGCAGGAAAACAACCAGCTCCAAGACATCACACGGGACCTGAAGATCCAAGTGGATCTGCTGGAGGACGGGGAGAAGGAGAAGGCCGAGCGCATGGTCAACAACCACAGGGTCCCAGTCAGTACAAGCATGGGTGACACAGCAGCGTGGAGAGGCAACGGCAGGGGGGGGACAGCTTTGCTTCCCTGCCTGTCCCCTGGTCGCAGGTAGCCTCAATGCTACGGGAGGAGCTCAGGAACTGGGAGCTGGAGTGGAGGAAGGTCTGGAGCCAGCTGGACCAGAGGAAAGAAGCAGCAGCAGTGCTATGGTATGCGTGACCCAGCAAGGGTCCCGGCGCTTGTTACAGCGCCCATGGGTGAGGAGCTGCCCGTGCCGGGGCTCTCGGTGCAGCCGTGCTCGCAGGATATGCAGCTGGACAGGACGTGCCGGCAGAGCCCAGGGCTTTGGGAATCTGCGGTGGTGGGGAGACACTGCTTCTGGGGCTGCCTTCTCCACCATGAGACCTGTAACGGATCTGCGAGGAGGAACCAGAACTCCAGCTGTTGGAAACTCCAAGGTTTGGCTGAAAACCACCTAACTCAAAACCTGAGGCCAGCCCTGGAACTTACTGCAGCTCAGTGGGAGCAGCCCTCGTGTGCTGCTATGAGATTCCAGGTGACTCGTGCTTTCCAGTTTCTCAACAAAGCCGAAGTGGTTTTGGACCCTGCAGAAGTCGCTCCCATCGCTCCCCACTTCGCACTGGAAGCTTCCCTCCAGCCTGGGCTGCTGGAGCAGGGACGGGAACACGGAATTGAGCTGCAGAGAGCCAGGGACT